TATTTATATATTGAATCTTAGGAGAGAAGGGAGTAGTAATAAACGGAACGTGTAACAATTAAAATCTTGTTTGATTCACCTAAGTCCCGTCCATATAGCTTATAATGTAATATATTTAATTAAACTACGGTGTATGCTTTATCACTTCTTTCACAGGAGTCACAGCTGCGACAGTTAAGTGGAAAGAGATAGTCTTGAGTTCAATCCTCAGATAGGACACGTTGTCATGAATGTCTAAGTTTTTCAGCATTAAAGTAAAACATAATATGTTATATTGTAATACCATGTTTAACTATTAGATACCTACTAAAAGAAACTACAGTACTACCGACCAATCAATAAATATGATTCTCATAGGAACAGGAATTATGAATGAACCAATCAATTATGCCACTATATTTGGGATTCGAACCAGTAATCCTGTGAGAGTAAGTTCTAAATTAGGCCGCCCGTTCATTTTAATAAGGACAGGTTTGTTTTTTAGCTTTCTCAAGGAGTTTGGAAAAGGTTGCTAGGAGAACTATTATCGAGATGTCCTAGTTTTGTAATGAGGCTGTGATTACAATACATTAGACACTAAATTATTATAGGCACATAATTTTATTGATTGGGCCTCCGGTAACCTCACACGACGAAACACAACGCAAGCGTTGTCTCACGTCGGTTTTCTGTGAGGCCGTGGTATCACTCCCGTCGAGCCGACCCATTAGTGCCGAAGCATGTTTCTCCCACAGTTAATAAACAAAAAACTCATTAATAAATTTACTGACTTTATATTTATTTTTCATACCTCAACAAAATTGACTGACTGGAATTACATTGTTTGTTGTAAATATTAATTCTATCAGTCAAGTAATTAAATTTCTGCAAAACATGTCCACGAATGGAATTTCATTATATTTTGATGCCACAAAGTGCAGGCAGGACGGTCATATTAATTAAAAATGTTTCTTCCACTCCTCAGGAGCGAGCTTTGATTTTCATAAGAAGCTTTTTAAACCTAGTTAGGTCAGTGGCGTGTGTAAATTTAATTAATTCAGCCGTATTGTGACTGAGTTCATAGTTTCAAGTAAAAACGACATGTTTTATATAGTTTTAATTTTATAAATTTGCTCTTATTAAAGTCACGTACGTCTCAAGTTGTTTATGAATTTTAAGCTCGCGACCGCCTGCGCCATGTTTACTGCATCTATACTTCATAGTTTCTGCATAGTACTTGTATAAACATATCACATTATATTTACATGTGTATCACATAAAGTAACTTTATGATCCCTCTATTTTTCACATTTCCTTAAAAATCCGATTTGAATGCGAACGCACAGGCAATGCTAGACAAGTTTATTATAAGCAAATAATTTGTATTTCACTTCCCTGGAGCCGTTACATAAGATTTTATAGTTGCTAGTAGTGTATGGAGCTACGATTAAGATAAGAGTTGTTGCTTACTTCGACTCCCTAAAGCAATCAGTGTTGCCGCGAAAAGATCACTAGACTTGTTTAAAAGTTAATTCTACTATTTACACACGGATAAGGGGACCAAAAGATTGCTTTAGTATTTGAAACTCGATAAGTCACAAACTCTCGGTTTACTTTGAAACTTTTATTTTGTGTATCGAGCTACTAAATTAGCGACTGAATTAGTTTTAGAGTGTGTCGTTTCAATTCCCAGTGGTAATAACAAATTTATACGGAGTTAACTCACGTTCCTTGAAAGTTAAATACAAATTGAAGTAATAAGCTAGTCTGCATGCGGGCGAGGTTTATACGTCGGGCAACGACAGCTTAACATTTCTCGACGCAGATAAGGTGGCACGCGTAATCCACGCGTCACCCAAATCACCTTAAAAGTTTTTTCTTTCATTCGTCCCGATTCGTGATAGGCCTCCATATCGAATTGAAATACATAAAATCGAAGTGCTCGACATAACATCAAGCCGCGTGTCATACGCATTAAAGCGTAGTACATTTCAGAACACGTACGCGTGGTACGTGTTCGCTCGGCGCTGCCCGCTTTACCCCATTTCCGCACAGTGAAGTGCAATTAGGAACTTATCGCCAGAGATACAGAGGCAACTTAGCACTTACACCACGGAGTCAGATATTACTGGAAGTGCTGTTTGCGCTTTGCTAACTACTCAACTCAGTTATACTTTAAGGCAATAAAGGAAAGCTGGCCGCCGAGGACAATCATCACTTGATGTGTAGTTAGTTTTACAAAGTGTGGGAGAGCCATGCTTCGGCACGAATGGGCCGGCTCGACCGGAGTGATACCACCCGCCTCACAGAAAACCGACGTGAAGCAACGCTTGCGTTGTGTTTCGTCGTGTGAGTGAGGCTACCGGAGGCCCAATTACCTTCTCCTTCCCCAATCTCCTCAATTCCTGATTCCTCAACGATCCTCAAACTCCTAATCCCCAAAAAGCCGGTGACGCACTTGTAACGCCTCTGGTGTTCCAGGTGTCCATGGGCGACGCCGATTGCTTACCATCAGGTGATCCGTCTGCTCGTTTACCGGCTTATGCAATAAAAAAAAATATTTTTGCTTCAGCTTTCTTCACCATTCTCATATGTACAAGAGCAAGACATTATAAAACAAAGTATCCTTGTAAAAATAAATTCTGGAATTTAAACTTACATTTAGACATGAGTGTATAAATTGCAGCTGCTATAAAGTCAAATTGTATGTTCCTCATCTAATTTAGTTTCCTTGTCGCACGGAGTACTTTCTTGGGATTTGACCAGGAGGAAATAGCAATGGCACAGTTATGGTAATGCTGAAGGAGCTCCACGCACTGCGCCAGACATATCGCACAGTCGTCTCCGAGGAATTCTCTCAAATTACTGCAGCGAGAGAGTATCTACTTAGCGGAGCACACTTTTCTCTTTATCCACTGTTGTAATATTTGTATCCCGCGTTAACCTCCTTACATAGGTATATATATACAGGGTATTGTGGTTACCATGGACGCACATACTCACATATTCATTTCTGGTGGTTCTTTTACAACATATTTTCATAGTCATCTTTGTTTCTTAATCAGTAAGTATAACTACATATTCGAAACTTTCCTAAGATTGGGATCAACAAATATGTAGTTAAAAATAAAACTTTCCAAATTGTATTTCATTAATACTCCAATTTCGTAGCGAGTTGTCGGATTCAATCAATAAATTTGTCGGATACGACATTTTAACCCGCGAGGGACAACTTCATTACCCGGGACAAATTATATTACAGTGTCTAACTTCTATTTATTGAGATCGTTTTAGTTTTCTTTGTTTCCCGACAACCTGTTTATTAGCCTAAGTATAATGCGTAGGAGTCCAGTCATAACCTCTTCGATGTAATTATTGTCAATATTTTATGCAAATGGGTTGCCCTGAAAATGTTTTTTGAAGCGAAAAATAATGTTTTTCATTATATTATTCTTTGGAGTTCCGTGTATAGCTTTTTAAAAAGTATAAATAATAAATTTCAGGAAGAAATATTCTTTATGAGTGCCACGCGAAGTGAATTATGTCATTGATTTCTATTTATTTTGGTTTATTTTTATCTCTTTTGAAACTACCTACATAGTTAAACGCCATCTAAGTATAAAACAGTATGAAGGTACCATCATGTGAACTGGTATGTACAATTAAAAAAATAAACCATTTGTTTCCGAAATATCTTTTAAAAACCATGTTGCATTCGGTGTTGAATCTATTCTGAATAACTTGATGGGTTTTTAGAATTGATTGGCTCGATGGTTCGTTGATAAAGCTAACAGAATAATGCGACTTTCACAACAGATCATAATAACACTTAATCCACTCAGGAAATTAAATAATTAGCATTCCACATAACATGAACTGGTTAATCATACAACTAAATGTATAAATTGAAATGTATTTTCATTTGAATTTGTAGATGTTTAAACCAAAACATTGTAATATTCGGTTAATCTGAAACCATGACCAGTAATTAAAATAGACGCAATATATTTTCATTTTCATACCTACACACCAACACGTGTATGTAGGTAGGTACCAAAAATAATTAATAATTTTCCTGAAAGTAAAGCTAAAAATAAGAATTAGCATATAAATAGACCAACCAACATTTCACTGGAATATTTTCTTATTTACTTGCTCCCAGCGCCCAATGTTACGTTAGACAAATATATTGTAGGCATAGAAACAATATGCTCGTATACTCATTACCTGAGTACTCTGTGTATCCGATAAATAACTGAAATCGTAATATACTATATAATATACACGAATCTTTAGACACAAAATCAAAGAATACTTTCACAAAGAAACATCTCAGACGGAAATTATAGGTTAAGAGATTATTTACGTATGTAATGTACCTGATGGAGAGGGCTTATAAACATACAAAAAGCCTTTTTATGACCTTCTTCGCTTTTTATATCTACTTGCAAACATTACAGGCCATGTCGAGCTGACGTTCCCTTAAGAGAACGTGTTTACACCAAGTTTTTCTTATTTTTCGCAAAAGAAAATGTGTTTTCTGTCGGTCAGCGACGGCGACGGGCCGAGGAAACAGAATCTGATTTAGGTTCCATTATATACAACTTTTCTTATGTAACTTCAACTACTGAGCTATAGAAAAATGCATTAAGGTGAGTTAACTACGAAATTACGCCTATAAATAGTGGTTATTATCAAAAAAGAACATGGAAGTACATACATTAAGCAATTTATTTACAGTTTGTATAATATCAAAAAGCTACAATCAGTACCGGTTATGTTTGTCTCCATAATACTGTCCAAAGAAATACAGTAACAATATTATCCTATGTACTTACATCGTATGTATAATAATAAAAATGAAATATCTCATACAATTAGGTACATTGTGACTTTTTGTCGACATTTAAACATAATTATCACAGATTTGTAAACGTTTTAAACAATATTTAAAATATTATAAAAGCTTTATACAAAAAAACAAAAATATAATTAAGTTACAAATTAAATGCTAAACGCAAAAGAATCTTATATTTTCCTAAAGTTATGAAAGAGCGAATAAAGTTAAATAACCTAAAAGACTGAGTCTTTCTTAAAATCATAGATTTTATTCTAGACCAAATGACTATGTACAGCGTTACTTAGTTCATTAAAGAGTAAAGTAAATACTTAGAAATAAAGTAACTAGTAAAGTGCACTCGAGCCGGAGCGTTGAACTATCTGTAAATAAATTCATAAAGCGTAATTATTAAGACGGGAAGTATTTCATTAATTAAAATGGAGGTATTGTTACTACATATCAGGCTACATATTTTTAACAGATTATTTTACTTGTTTTAAAGTCGGGATCATGGCTTTCGGATAGTCTGTTGTTGACGGTGTATTTTCAATTGTGTTTCCAGTATTTAAATTGCTTATACGAGAGAATTTAATAACAGGGTAAATTCATGAAACATGAAGAGATTTTTTACTTTTTTATGAGGAAAGATCTCCGATTTGAGTAAAATGTAAAAGCCATATTTTTGGTTAGTGTTTAAATTATAAATACAAATATTCATTTTATTATGTTAGTAGTCTCACACGCTGTAGACCGATACTAAAAATGTTGTATTTTTTAGTTTGTGTATATTATGTGGTTATTGAAACTTTGTTTTATTTTGTAACATAGTTTAGAATATGTTTATTTCTCGTAAAGAATCACATACATAATACTCATAAAGAATCACTTACTGAGACACAATATTTCATACAAAAGTAAACAATTTAGAGCTCACAGTAGTACGTACATATAAACAAAAACAATACAAAAGAACAAATACAAATGTTCACTATTTAAAAATGTGAGTAAAGTGATAAATATACACAAATAACAGAATCAAGCAACACGGGCAGACCATACATAACATAGCATCTGCTTACGAAGAAAACATAATAATTGACACCGTTACGTGAGTAATCACGTAACTGTGAGGAACTCAACTAGTTTCAAGCCATGCTAGAGGCTCATATTCATGAGCAGCATTCCGCGACGCGCGACGCGGCGCCTGTCACGCTGCCACTGGCTGTTCGACTCAGTGCAATTAGTCGAGTTCCTCGTCAAACAGTTACGTGAGTAAGTAATAATAATTAATTTATTGTGTCTCACGAAAGTTTTAATATTAAAATAATGTCATTATATAATAACTTACTAGCTTGATGTTCCATAGGTTTCTTTACCTCTATGCTTGCGCTATGCGTCGGCATTAGACCTGTAAACAGTTGACAGGTAAGTATATATTTATTTCGTTATATATTCCTAATGAAAAAATATTAGACACGTATTTTTATATTTTTCGGAGAAGGTCATAATACTTAGATAAAACGAATCAGTTTTGGAGCGGGAGCCAAAACTTATTTTTTACGTATAAAACGTCCCTAGAAGTGACTATAACTAGAAGTGATCTATTTGTTTTTGTAATAAAATAAAAAATATGAGTCTAATGTTTTAAAATAATCTATCAGATGAACTAAAATAAAAATTAGTCATCTACCCTATTGACAGGATTTATAATGTGTGGGAGTGCCATGCTTAAGTGTTGGAGAACCATTCTTCGGCACAAATGGGCCGGCTCGACCGGAGTGATACCACGGCCTCACAGAAAAACGACGTCAAACAACGGTTGCGTAACATGCGTTGTGTTTCGTCGTGAGTGAGGTTACCGGAGGCCCAATTAGCCCTCTCCCCTTATTCCCCAATCTTCGAATCCTCCTCAATCCTCAAATCCCCAAAAGGCCGGTAACGCACTTGTAACGCGTCTGGTGTTTCAGGTGTCCATGGGCGACGCCGATTGCTTACCATCAGATGATCCGTCTGCTCGTTTATCGGCTTATGCCATAAAAAAGTACTATAAAATAGTGTACCCGAGCCAACACGAAATAGATATCAAATAGAGGTATTATGCTGCATGCTTCCAATGTGTAGTAACAAAGACAAAAGGTTAGTTAATTTGCAATCAAAGCTAACATAAACACATCCAACAGTATTTGTACAAACAATTTTGTAAATAATAATAATTTTAGTGTTATAACGCATCCTAATACTGGCTCTTCTAGGAATGAGTAAACAAACACGGAGTTGACTGACAATATTATCGAACGCAATGTAATTTCGGAGTAATAGGTCTAGAGGCAAGCAACCCTACGCATTGGGTGTCATCACACGTACAACATACGCGTAGCTGCTAATCACGTGTACACTACACATCTATACTAGTAAAAAGTAGGTGGAAGTAGTAGGGTAGGTAGGTAGGTACGTCTCTATACTGGTTATGTTATTAGTGTAATAATGGTAATACAATCTTAACTGTATAGGTACAGTCGAAATATTAAATTCTATTATTTCTACCAATACGTAATAAGAATTGTTTTTCTTTCTGCAGTGGAAATAGGCCTTATTACAGGAGTTTAGCTTTAACAGCCTTTAGCCAAATTACATATTAAAATTCAGCTAAAGTCTTCACAGTGTCTGCTGACGACACAAATTTTCTATAAGATTTAGTTCGGATCGATTAGGGCTTTTCAATATTCGTAATAAACTATGTTCAAAAAAATCGTTTTCAACCCCCTCTTTTTTGAAGTCTGTTCTCGTAAGTGTAACAAATTCTTTTCTCAAAACCGCTTCAAAATCGGTTCAGCCACATCGCGCACAAACATACATACAGGTCGAACTAGTTATTGAAGAGTCGAATCAAGTTGGTTTATTAGTTATTGAAGAATATGTTCAATCATGAATATTAGGTGAACTTACTTGTAACCTACCTACCTGTGGAACACAAATTGTCACAACACCCTGATCTTAAACATATTTTTAATGTACAAATACTTACCTGGATAATAAACAGTAGTTCTATTAGTAGTGTAATTAGCTAGAGGCAAGTTCAATACGCAGACGAACTCCTCCCAGGGACTGGTGACGTCATCATCGTGGATCAGTGCTGTGGTCTCCACGGTGTACATGCCCCAGGAGTCCATTCGCATGTCCGTGATTGCTCGCTCCAGTGGCTTACTGCAAAACTTTGATATTTTAGGATATTTTTTCTACAGCAAAACATACACTGAAAAATGATAAAGCGTATTGTGTTTTTTTTTAAATTTACATATTTTTTTTTAACACGTAGACTCAAAGATGCGCCCTACGTGTTTTTATAATAGACACACCATCAAAACAAATCTATTTTATTTGCTAGAAAAGTGGTATATTACAGATAAAGCAATATTTTTGAGATCCTCATATTTCACCAAAATAGGCATGCAAATATTTAATGTCATAAATTAATCAATTGAATTGAAATAAATTTCATGTTAGTCATTAGGTATTGGATGACCCTTTTTGAGGGGGGAAATCATCGAACGACCTCTCCCGCCTGGGTGAGGCGGATCCCTCCCGCCTTACCCAGGCGTATCAGACTCTTACTGACTAAAAACCACCCTGCCCTTCGAGCCGGAGCCCCGGCAACCCGTTAAGTCCTCCGCGGCTCCGTATCGGCATCAGCCTTATTTGGCCCCATCCGTGGTGAGGTATTGGATGACCGTATCTAAATACTTTTCATAAAGAAGAAATCATCATCATTTTATTATCAATCAATCATTTATTTATTTAAGACATCAAAGGACATGATGGCTGGAAAATATTTTCTTAAAACGATGCATATTGTCTTTGTTGTTAATAGCGTGCAATGCCCCCAAATCAAATTCTATCCTCCTGTATGTAGATCGAAACTTGAAACATTTATGTCATTTCAACATTTTCTGGAGAGAATTACTGTCAGTCTATATTTGTTTGAAAACTTCAGTAGTCCCTGTATATGCTATTCAGTAGTTTAATCTTCGCGAAAGTTTATGGCTATAAAATTTTACTGTGTCTTGAGGGAACCAGCAAAGAAAAACTAAGGCACGTCGCGTCGGGTGAGACACGTCACTTGGAAATTGGTCCCGAGCTGGCTCGACTCTGTATACTTGTTAACTTCTATTCGAAACAGTATTTTTATACCAATAATATATTGATTAGTACCTAAACAAATGACGTTGTGCTTCAATAAAAGGGTTTTAGATTAGATTTAATTTTCCAAGTGTATTATAAAATTGACAATAAAATTATTTTGAAAAAAAAATGTGCTGAAAAAACGATACCTAGATTTATTAATAGATACATATAAAATAACAACATCTAAAAGGGATGACTTTATTACAATTATGTTTAAGTAATATTTTCTTTACAAAAAAGTTGCCTAGTTTTACGCTCAAACGATTCCTTTTTCCGACACAAGCGAACCCAAAAAAGGCTTTTCACAAATAAAAGACAACCCATAACTACAAACTACTACATAGTTATTACTTATTATTTGAGTAAATAATTCTTTAATAAAAAGTAATAAATGTATTAGTATCAGCGTAACCTGCATCTGGTCAGATCATAAATACGTACAAAATCGTAGGACAGGATCATTAATAATACATCAAGATTCGAATAACAAGATCACTTGACCTTATCTAACTCATGAATTACCCATAAAATTGCCGTCTACCCGTCTGTACATTTATATATATATTTTCCTGGCCGTACGCTTTCTGAATAAACACTTCCTTTTATTAGTCTTGATAATTAACTTTTTTATTACTTACCTTTTATAAGATTTATTTTTAATTTTTGGTTATGAAGGCCTGGGATTGGTGAATTAGATTTGGGCCCATTTCTCGTATTATAATGATTCCGAAAATATATCCTTTTCTTTTGATGGAATCTCTGAGGAGTATTTTCAGTTTGGATGGACTTGTTATGTATTACATACGTACACATACTTACGTAATCTGTGTATAATGGCTTTGTGTGTGCTGTCAACTAAGTTAGTTCAGTACCACAGAACATTGGAGGCACAGGCTATTCCAGAGAATATTGCATTAACTAGTCACAGAACGCGCGAGAACCATTCTACCGTATATTTATAGGGTATAATTTACCGTATGTCTATATGGTATAAAGCTTAAAGGTAGTAGTAGTACTTAATATACTTACCCCTTTGATAAAATAGTCAATACGGGCCGGGGATATAAGTACTCCGCTACACATTTCAAAGTAACTAAGAATACGTATTTTTTCTCCTGGTCAAAATGGAAACTCTTTCCCGGACCTGTGGGGTAAAAATAACTGTATGTTATCGAATATAATATTGAACAGAAACAATATCAGAAAGCATTATATTGTGTAATAAAAATATTATTAGGACATCGATTTGTAAAAACGTTTAAGTAACGGTTTAGAGCAACCTATTACTTAAAGTCATAACTTCTAAACCTTTCAGATATCCTACATTTGATTTGTACACTGAATGCGATGTTTTAACTGTCCGGCAGTTGTTTGTTAGGCAAAGTATATTGTCACAACATCAGAACCTTACCTTTAAAGGAACAATAACGTCAAGGCGAAACCATAAAGTATGTATAACCGAATCATACAACACTTTCTTTATTAGGAAATTCCAGTGCTATATTGGCCCCATGCTTTACAATAAATTAAATAAAAAACTTAACCTTTATCCCTTAACATGTTATTGCTGCAAAAAAGTTGTAACAGTCTGGTTAAAAAAACAAAACTATGTAGATATTGAAAACTTGTTTGTTGTTTTACAGTAACCAAGTTAAAAATACATATATTACAGTAATAATAACTCAATACACTAGTTATAAAAGATAAAAGGAATCTGGTGTGTTATTGTTTCCAATTTTGGTCTACTGTGCATGTATGTTTTACTAGTTATAATAAAGTATGTAGATTAATACTAAATAAATAATTAACAAACACTAATTACTAAGCAAATTTAACTAATATCCAATTTGCGGGAAAAAGAAACAATCTTCAATAATCACTATTTATAATATGTATTTAAATAAAACTTAAATTCTTATCAACATTAATCACACTGATGCATACACCACCTTACACTACACTTTACACATAAATAAATAAAATAATAAAGTTATAAAAATATATACATAATATTATTATTTAAGTTCATTGTTTTAGTTGTTTTAGTGGTTTGACTATACTAAAGTGAATTCATTCTGTGCGGGTAATTCATAAAAAGTTTGATATTGTTTAAAGTATGTTTTTATTAGGTACCCTCCTGTCTCTCAAGGTTGTTTTATTGTATTGTCATACTCGTGCATTAGATATCAATGGTATTATAAAACATTACAAACTATAAATTGTAAATAATATATTGTATCAATTGGAAGGAACTAACATCTAAGGTACAGGCTCGGCCTAGTTTAGATGTTAGTATTCATAAACTGTGTGTCTAAGGTTTTTGTTACAATAAACACTTTTTATTATTATTATTTATTATTATTAAATTTTATGCATTTACACCAGAATTGCAACATTTACTGTTATTCTTCGGATTCATACTTAGAGTAGTTGCAATTACAATTTATTGTTAGTTAGGTAATATATATTAAATAGTTCTGCATTGTAGTAGCGGATCTATTGCACGACTCCAAATACATAATTACATATTTTTTAAATCAAAATCTCCATCATTTTATATCTTCACTGTAAACCAACATACTATACAATATCATTAAAGAAAGACTTAGTACTGGATACGCACCACTAAACTTACCTGACTGTGATGTGTTTTCCACAAAGTGAGCAGACAAAGGTTTCATACACATACAGCCTAAACCCAATACAGTTAATTACTTTGTGCGGGGATGAACTATTTCGTTCGTAAGTAGGAAGTACTTCTCGATAAACTAGATTTCCATACGCACAGGGTATTGCCCGACAATTCGGTTAGAAATTCATGCAAACCTACTATTATGCACTTTCGGCTAGTGCACAGGTGCCGTACTATCGAATTAATCTGAGCTGATAGCTAGTTCAAATTGTGTTCTGTACTCATCTGTTATATCTGAGACAAAGGAGATTTATAGGATGTCATCCAATGTACATACTTTATTTAAATTTAATTTTTCAGTTACTAATGTACCATATTTCGCAATGATGCAGTTTTAACTCTATGGAGGAAACCAGAAATATTGAGTTATCGTACGGGGACCTGTTTATGGTAATTTTATTTTAGTATATTAATCATCAATCAATCGTTAAATTTTTTTGTTCATTTTCATTTGACGAAAAGAGGGTGCTATTTTGAAGAGATCAGAAAATGATTTTACACGTATTTTAATACATGCACTCGATTTATCTATGCAACTAGTATCTAATAAATATTTTTAAATGTTTCTTACAATTAAATATGTATTAAGTAGTGTAATTGGTTTTTTGTACCGTTCTATTTATATAAATAAATAAATAAACTAGATGAGATTCGATGACTTGTATAACTTCACATTAGAGCTAATATTATAACGTAATTGGGATCAAATTGTGCCCTTACTGGAACTGAATTGATTAGCAATGCGACCTGGGAATAGAATGCGAAGTCGAATAATATTAGTAGTAGTAGTCGTTAATAATTTAGTTATAATATTCTAGCTCTAACAATTTCCAGGAATTATCCGAGCATTGCATTCGGTTCACAAGATTATGCATAACATTATAGTGGTTAGGTACCTGATTATAAATCCCTATCGGCCATACAATTGGGTATATTCGCCGCGCCCTATAAACAACGAACGGGAATAATATTTACATTCTATTAATATAAAACCAATATGGCTGATTAATTTGCACGTGGGATTCAGTAATCGTACTTCGGTTAAAGTTCATAGAATCATGTCAGATATCAGTCAGTATAATATTCCAATGATAGTTACAATTATTATTATTATAGTGTATCAATTAACCAAATTGTTATTGTTGTTTCGGCCCAAAGGACATTTCTCGTCGTCCATACATAGTTCGCCTATGAACCAACAAAGAGTTGTCATTACTTTTTGGGTTTAATGTATGTATTCGATTGAACCTAAATTAAAACAACGGACGATTTTGAGAATTCTAAGTGTGAGAGCTGTGAGAGCCATGCTTCGGCACGAATGGGCCGGCTCGACCGGAGTGATACCACGGCCTCACAGAAAACCGACGTGAAACAACGCTTGCGTTGTGTTTCGTCGTGTGAGTGAGGTTACCGGAGGCCCAATTACCCTCCCCTTCCCCCATCTTCCCAATTCCTGAATCTCCAACGATCCTCAAACTCCAAATCCGCAAAAGGCTGGTAATGCACTTGTAATGCCTTTGGTGTTCCAGGTGTCCATGGGCGACGCCAATTGCTTACTATATATACATCGTTTCCCAGGTCTCAAATTATAGTTTTACCGAATATAACTCAAAAAGTTTCAATGATTCTAGATTCAATAGATTCACTTTCATCCTCTGTCGTACCCTAAGGGGGGTGAAAATGATCAAAATCCTTTCATAAGGGACGTTTAAGTCATAACATCTACCTGCACGCTGAATTTCAACCCAATTGGTGTAAAATTGATTCGTACCAACTTTCATCCTTTATTTTACCCCATTGGGGTAGAAGTGATGAAAATCCTTAAAAACTTCTTAGCGGATGCTTACGTCATAATATCTACCTACATGCCAAATTTCAGCCCGATCCGTCCAGTGGTTTGGGCTGAGTGTTGATAGATTACTATGTCAGTCAGTCAGTCACCTTTGAATCTGTACTATCCATACTAATAAAAGTACCACCATCCCCCCATGATATTTGCATTACTCTTGATGACGTTCAAAGTCCGATCTAGAGCTTCAATTGCTCTTTTATGGGGCATGGTACACTCATCCCAAACTAATAATTCACATTGCTGCACCGTAAAAAGTAGCCTGTTTTCGTGCCTTTTTTTTTAAGGGGGGAAAATCATCGAATGACTGCCCCCGCCTGGGTGAGGCGGGAGGGAGTGTCAGACTCTTGCTGACTAAAAACCACCCCGTTCCTTCTCCTGCACATCGAGCCGGAGCCCCGGTTACCCGTTAGGTTCTCCGCGACTGTTTTCGTGCCTAGGATCTTTAAAAATATAAATATCTTTAAATTACCTAACCAAGTTATATAAAAATTCGTTAGACGTTAAGGCGTGAATGAGGTAAACTTTTAAAACAAATGATTAAAAATCACTTACTTAATTGGTTTTCTGCCTACACCTTAAGTATAATAGCATAAATATTAATAGCCTATATCCTTTGTCTAGATTACTATCTATCACCTAACTAAATTTCATCAAAATCCTTTCAGCCGGTAGGCATGATAGAGCAAAACTCCCAGCAAAAACCATAAAAAAATCACAAACACAATTCAGTTTTCTGCCTACTTCCTACCCCCTAAGTACGATGACGTGATTATTTATAGCCTATGACCATTTCTAGGTTATCATCTATCACCAATCACAATACCAAATTTTATCAAAAACCGTTCAGCCGTCTAGGCGCGAAAGAATAACAGACAGACATACAGAGTTACTTTGGCATTTATAATATTAGTATGGATGTATGTTATTAAAAGAACTAAGAATTATGATAAATGTTTCATGCGTGTTGATTCATAGGCCATTTTTAACAATGTCCTTTATGTATTTTCTGCGTGCTTCTCGTCTGTGGAAGCATCCGCATATTCTGGACCAAATTGATCAAATTATCCGTGACACCTTAACTTCACTTTTGAATGCATCTATGGACGATCGTGTTTGGCTTCAAGCCACACTACCAATACGTTTTAGACGCTAGGTCCGTGGGGTCCGAGTGCGCTTAAATTATTCAAAATCATTTCGAAACGCCTGGGCGACACATCTCGTGACCTTCTGGTCACGAGATGATTCAGAAGGCTGGTCTTTTTCTCGGTCAGAGGTTAAGCATTGCCATACAACGTGGTAATGCTGGCAGCCTTCTGGGTACTTTCCCCACTGACGTCGATGTGGAAGAATTTTTCGATGCTTTATGTAAATAGTTGTTTTTAGTTTTCTTTTAATTAATTTTAATCTAAAGTTGTATACATTTAATTTAGTAAAAGTTTTAATTTTATTTAAGTTTTTATTTGAATAAATGATGATATCGTAACCAAAATGTCAACCAATTAAACTAACTCAAAAAATTAAACGTTTGTTAAAAATATATAATTACATCATTTCCATTAACATTTTTATAATCGATATTAAGGAAACTAAAATATGGTTTGAAATATTCAAACTACAAGGAAATCTTTACTTTAAACCATAGTTCAGACCATAGTCTGAACTGTAAACTTTACGATTAAAAGTGGTTATGACTATACCACAGCTTGCTCCTCCGGGGAATAAGAAGCGGTAATGTTATGTTAGGAAACTCGAAAAGTCAATTAACTTAGTATCTCTTGTTGTGTCGACAAAATATCTCGAACAATTTCGAATTTGACAGCTCACATTCGTATAAACGAAGTCAACTACAAAGTGGTACTTTCAATTTCGTCTAGTTTTTAGTTGTACTACAGTTAATTGCTGAACTCTTGTAGGTAAATAGGAGTCGCCTTACGTATTTAAAGTTTCAAATTACAAAGGATTTTCAATTTTCTCTTATTAAATAATCTTCTTTATGAAATATTACTAATTATATTAGATTTCAAGTTTTTGAGCTAAATTTAATTAATATGAAAATTTAGTAATAATAAATTGTATCTTGTAATGCGCTAAAAATATAACTTTTAGTCTACTTTGTTACGAAATAAAAAACGGGTTGTTTTGATTATGTTTAGAAACACGTCATTATTTATGAAGTCAGTGTAATTCTAGTACTTACCTGTATGTAACTGATATAACACAATTACCTAATGCAAATTGTATATAAATTGGGTGTAAACGAGTATGTTAATTACTTACTGTACACTAACATCGATCTCGTCTGACTGTCTTCTGCTATGAATGTGGACACCACACAAGTGTAGTTACCGCTGAGGTGTGTCCCCGGATTTATTATTCTAATGGCTCTATAAGCCTGCAAAGGTTCATCTGTAACAACAAAGTAGTTATTGAAAGAAATGTGATTTTAATTAACACGAAGCGTGTTAAAATCACATTTTATTTTAACACGCTTCGTTTTTATTTTTTCTATTTAAGGTGTTTTTATTTTTTGCGTTTTTATTTTTTCTATTTAAGGTGCCACTTGTACTGGAGACTGTATGGGGTATACCCGTTATACCCGTTGATGTACCCCACACTTTTTGTACTGGGTATGGTGTCATACAATGAGTTGGGCGTGCGGCGACAGTTCACACTGGTCGTCTACCTAATTAAGTTACTCCACGGCAAGCAACACAACCCTGGAGTGCTGCAGCTCTTGAGCTTTAGTGTTCCGGACCGCTATGTGTGGAGGCGCCGGCGTCCACCGCTGCTGGCCGTCCCGGCTGCCAAGACCAACCTACTGGCCAAAACGCCTCTGACGCGAGCAATTCGTACGATTAACCAAATCCAGACTGTAATAGATGTATTTGCGTGTCAGTTCAATGAACTCGCAAAGATTATTTTATATATACTGTGTTATAGGTTAGAGTAGTAGATATAGTTTTAGTGTTAAGTTGCTTTTATTAGTCTAGGTATTGTTAATTTGTTATTGTTAGTTTTGTAAATGTAAGTAAATGTAAGTAAATTTCGTATAAAGTGCCACACTAACGCATTAGGTTATATAATTTACCTGTAATGTTAGCTGTAAGAGTTGAAATAAATAAATAAATAAATAAATAAATAAATATTGTATATGTGAACTTGTATGTATGGAAACGCACCCTGATACTAGAGAAAGTCCTAGTATGAGGTAACGTTTTTTTTAAAGTTTAAAGTAAAATCTATGAATTAAAATTATATACTTATTGAATTTTTATAATAAAATTTAGCTACTGCATATGTGTAGATAAGATGACCAATGACCATATAATATTATGGTAGGTACCGTTGAGAGCTGGGTCAGAAGATGGAACTTTGGACTCACGAGTAAATTTACCTGGTTTGCGTTTATTAGATCTTTTTTTTACAATAAGAATATGATTGAGTTAATATTGTTAATAAAACGAGGATTTCAGTTATTTAAACTAAAAAAAATAATTGAGATTGAAATATAGTTTTAGTGTTCAGATGAATTGTCAGTTTATTTTCTTTACAACACAAAATATGTTGCTAGGCACAAAAGAATATAACGGCTACACGAAATCTATTTTATTAATATTCATTTCAGTCTAGGGAGGGCTTTGTGTAGAAAATTAAATAATAAAAATGGTATTTGTTGCTTTAACTACATTTTTTGTAAGTTTTACCTTGTTTATGAAAACTTACCCGAGATTTTAAAACTCATGTCGACTTTTCCTTTTAAAAGTCCAATAACTTGAGGTTGTAGTGGTGGTATCCATTGGTAGACGAGGCCAGTGGACCCGTTGAAGAACCATTTTATGACGAGACCTGGACCGGGGACCTCGCCTGTGTTGTAGTCGCAGTCTAGGATCACTGACTCCGTGCCTAGCTCCACTAGGGCCGGTACCACGATTCGGTTTATGTTCACCGCAATACATTCTGGAAATAAATAGTCATGTTAAGTATTTATTATTATATATAGTTTTTATTATACCTGTCGAATTATTACGAGCAAATGAAATTAATTTAGGTATTTGTAAACAACTATAACTTTTAAGAAATCGTAGGTAGTACGAATTTCATTGCTAGACAAATTATATTGGGATTTTTTAAATTATTCTTTTAATAAATAAAAAAACTGAAGGCTTTATAGACTTTACTTTATTTCTTTTCTATACAAATTTTCAATGAAGAGCATAGAAGTTGACTTAACGTATGTTCATATTTAGACGTGTATAGCTACGTAAACAAGAATAGCGCACGAACCTAATATTAAATATTTCTATTTACCTGCTTGAAACAATTTTCTACTTTTGAATTTAAATCTACCGTTTGTTGACCTTGTTGTTCATGTATAAGTTGGTATGACATCGTCGTACATTTTTAAAAGGGTGGCACTGACGCTAATCTCGTCTTCAGTGGATTAGGTTTGGGCATGTAGGCTTTGGGCTTGTATCTCTTTATGACAGCTTAAGCTCCTCTGAAGATGTATAACAGACAAACAAATATCTATGTCGTGCCATGCACAATTGTGTCTGATTTTAGATTAATTGTATGCAAGTGTAATAAATTATCCCACTTCTATCCTACTAATATTATAAATGCGAAACTTTGTGAGGATGTATGTACGTGAGTATGTGTATTTGTTACACTTTCACGTCAAAACGGATCAAGGGATCGAGATAGACTTTGAAACCGGGGTAGGTAATGGTCTGAAATAACACATAGGCCACTTTTAATCCCACGGGAACGCGGGCGAAACCGCTGGAAGAAACTAGTATCTATATAATAGTAATTTATGACAAGTATATTTATTACATATTATTATGATCATAGGCACGGTTGCTGTTCGTTTTTAGCTATTTTTGTGGAACAAATACATAAAATATTAACTTTTTTAACTTGTGTCGTGTGAAAGAATAATTTTCGCATTTAGGTACTTATCATATACAGAATACTCCACAGTGAGGACAAAAGCAAACTGTTTTAATTATCAACAATATGAGAATCAATAATTAAAACTTAATTCCAGAATAAATACCATCTATTTAATTACGTGAACATATGCAACGCATCAGCCATATTTTATTTAAATGAATTGATGTTGTATAGTTATAATCTTATTATCATTAACTCCAATTGCTGGTATAATGAGCACAATTACCATAATCATACTATATCCGTAATGAGTATTGTCTATATACACATTGAAATTAATTTACAAAATGAATTAGTAAATCCATCTGAATAATACAGATATCATGGATATATTAATGTCGAGTAATCTGTTTAAATATATGCATATGCCTATTGGAATAGAATACAATTTAGTGATTGGCAGGCCTGCCGCTAGCTATTCGAACGCCCGCGTGCAAATACCAATTATGCCACCCCCCTTTTTGTTGGGTGGGTAAAAAGTCATCAAATGACTCTTACAACTCTTACTAAAAATCACCCCATTCCTTCCAACACTTGCTCAAAGCCAGGGCCTCAGTGGGTACTGGTATATAGGTTTTTTTTTAAGGGGGGAAAATCATCGAATGACTGCTCCCGCCTGGGTGAGGCGGGAGGGAGTGTCACACTCTTACTGACTAAAAACCACCCCGTTCCTTCTCTTTTCTCCGTTTCTGGTCGGACGGGGAGCCACCCATGCTCGCCGTCCGCAGGCCCGCTCTTACGGTGGCCGGAGATCGTCCCACGATCCCCGACACCCGGTGTGTCCTACGCGATGGCTGGGTAGCGAGGAGGCAGCGCTTCGCTGCCTCACGCGTCCCGCCTCCTCCTTAGCTAGCATGACTGCTTCGCAAAAGGAAGAGACGGCATCCCAGTCCCCCTCGCTCCGCATCATGGCCCTAGGCCCGGACGCGAGAGGTCGCCATCGCCGATCACTTCCCTGAGGGCACGGCGGTGCTCAGCCCACGCAGGGCATTCCGCTACAGTGTGTTCCACTGTGTCCTCATGGGCGGTCCTCGCAGTGATGATACCCGGACGTTTCCTCCCACCCCATCAGACACAGGTACCTCCCGAAACTTCCATGTCCGGTGAGGACCTGCGTCAGGCGGGACGTGCGGGCGTGAGGGACGCCGTAGCGTCTCTCAAGCCACTCCTCAAAGAGGGGACTTACCGCTGCAATGGCAGCGAGCCCAACTGGTATATAGGTAGGGGGAACTCCTGTAACGTCGGACGGCACCTAACGCCGGACATGTGTATTATCTCGATAACTGATAACACGAGATAAAGTCGTGGCCGTCTATTAAATTTAACAACGTTTCCGTAAAACGAAAGGAGTCTGTTTGCTACCTCGGTCTAGTTTTGGAAAAAAACTTTTCTTTCATTGAACATGTTAAGGCTATTAGTGAGACAGCCAAAATTAACTTCTTTGCGCTGACGTGAATTTCAAAAGCCACCTGGGGTCTCTCGTTTCTTACGCTCAAGATCATATACGGAGCAACCTACCTGGGATGCGTGTGCTACGGGGCACCTGTCTGGGGTGATAGGGCCACATTACAAATGGCGCGGTACGGTGAAAACTTCTCCAAGCGTCTAGCCTTGATTTTCCTGTGTAAAGCTTATAGGACGACTAGCACTGAGGCCCTACCTGTGCTCGAGGGCGTACTTACAGTAGATCTTGAGGTGCAGCGACGTGCTGCTATGTACTACAGTGCGAGACCTAATTTGTCAGCAAGCTTTCTAGCACAACGTGATAGAAATAAAATTGCTAGATTGTTTAAGCCAATAACGGACGTTTGGGGCGAGCTTATAACTGAATGGCAGTTTAGATGGGCATCTTCTATTATGAGCCGCCACCTATATCAGTTCTTCCCATCCGTGCATGAGCGGCTGGAGAGGACATGGTTGGAGGTGGATCACTGTGTTGCCCAATTTCTTACTGGCCACGGCAACTTTAAAAGCAAATCAGTTGTACAGTTTCTCCTTTCTGCCTTTAGGCTTAATTCATTCTGTCTCCTGCAGTAATTCACCGAGGGAAGTGGAAACTATAGTTTTTTATTCTTCTCCTCTTATAATATCCTTTGATTCACTTCGTTGCGGGAACCTAGACAGTTACTCATGTCCCTAGGACGCGCTGGACTTCAGTGTTCCGGTGTCTTCATGGTTGTATCTACTGTAGATCCTGGCTTACAGGAATTGCAGCGGTTTTGGGTGGTTGTGGCGGGGTTGTCCCAAAAAAATCTGATAACGCGAGCGATTCAATTTTTACTAAAATCTTATGTGTCGGCCACTGGGAGACTTCCCCCTAAATATTGAGTCGCTCGCGTTATTAGTTATTGAGATAATACAAGAGTCCGGAGGTAGGTGCCGTCCGGCGTTAAGGGACTTCCCCCCTATATGACAACCTACCCTCCAGCAAATCTTTAAACTAAATCTTTAGTAGGTTTCGACTTGTATCGAATTTGGGGCGCCACTGAACGGGAGCAGGCGGTGAACAATTTTCGGGTGATTCCAAGTTTGGTATTGATAGTCATAACCACAGAACATATAAAGTAAAGCTAATATTGCTTGCGTCGAGTGGGACTTTTTTCCGGCGATGATATTTTTTATGCTTTCTGATTACTTTGGACAATGATTTTAAATAGTAGGTAATGAGTCGTTCGATTTGCCGCCCCCATGATCGTGGGTCCGTGTGCTGTGCACGCTATGCACGCCCGGTTATGGCGGGCCGGTGATTAGATGGGCTCTTTTGATTACTTTCCTTATCATATTATTAAAACTAATATTACGAGTGACTTAGAGATCGTATAACCGAAACTAAAGAAGGCCTACAGCGACTTTTTTTTACGTTAACACAATCGAAACATTACCGTGTTTAGCCGTCTAATTGGAGTTGGCCAATCAGAGGGCTAAACGTGGTGACGAGTCAATCGTGTTAACATAAAAAAACGCATTGGGCCCTCTGGTTGTTGAAAGGCTGCGAAATATAGAGGTAGTAAATACTTTGTGGCATGGAGACAACAGCACTAAGAAAAAAATCCGCAGATTCTCGAATCGATTCTAAGAAACGCGGATAAAGGATTATTAAATGCGTACGAAGTTTCGAGGGAATCGGTGTATTGTCATATTTTTATTCTTATGAATCCTACAAGATGGATTGCCTATCTGTATTTTCCACTAAACGCCTACATTTTAGTCTAATAATATCTTAAGTTAACTTATAATTTGAATATTTCAGTCTATTACTGAACAGTTTGTTGAATAAGTAAATTGTTGAATTTTATTATGAAAAATATCATTATGGTAGTGTGACTGTTTCTAGCCGATCCTAGGCTGGATGAAATTTTAGTTTTTCCTAAATCAAGGAGGGGTTAACATCGGCTTACCCTTTCGTGGGAAATGGGCAAGGAACTGGGCTCCTCCATCTGCTCAGCTCTGTAGAGCTCGTCCATCTACTGGTCACTTCCCCACCGATTCTGACGTTTCACGGGATGGGTAATGAATTCCCAATAAATAACATAACTTATTTTATTAATTTATTCATTATGTTATTTATATTATTAAAAGCAAATACAAAGGGTCAAGTGGGAATTCACGGGGATAGGATGTATTCTTAATTATTTACATTACTAGTGATAGTACGAGAGATCACGACCAAAACCATGTTTCATAGCAATACGGCAAAAACCCTATAAAATCGTTAGATTGTATGATTCTGAACCCGACTAGGTGTGTAGTAACGGTCGAAAGTTTATCAACTGCGTGGGAGGCCATTTCTGCTGTGTCAAAAAAAAAAGACAGTCGGTATTATAGCAATAAGTGTGAAAATGTACTTCATAAGAGGGCAGCAAAGGGAAAAGGAAGGCAGTGCACTCATAGGAGCACACTCCGGACATGCAAAGGAATAATACCAACAACTGAAGGTCTTGCATATGTACCTCCTCAACCCAATCCCCGTTTCTAAACGAGTGTCTCGCTCACCATAGTAT